AACAACTGAAGAACACCTCTCACCAGGACTTTGAATGATTGTGCCCTATAATCGTGATGAATGTGGGAAAGCCTTCCCTGGACACTCGCCTCTTACTGGACATCACAGGGACCACACGGGAGTAAAACCCTATTAATGTAAAGAATGTGGGAAAGGCTTCAGTGGGTGCACAGGCCTTACTCAGCACAAAGAAGCCACAGCAGTGCAAAGCCCTATGAGCGTGGCGAGTGCAGAAGTTCAGCTCCTGTTAGACATCAAAGGATTCATACTGCAAATAAACTGCACTAATGCAGTGGAAGTTACAAAGTTACTCAAGCCTAATGAGTTGCAGAGAATCTACCTTAGAGACGTCAGAGTTTCCTTAATGTGGGCAAAGCTTCAGTCATCATTAAACTCTTCTCTGGCACTACAGAATCTAAGTAAAATATCCCTTTATTTCCAAGTCAGCATTCCAACTGCTCTCTGCCTTCATTTTCCCTGAAGGATAATAGCTGTGTTTTGATAAATCAGACAAAAATTATTTTTGAAATTCTTACTTATTTTCCACTATTACCAGTATTTTACCTTAAAGAGTTGTAATCAGTTTGTGGAAACATTTTGTTCTCCAATGATAAAAAAGAGGAAAGCATAAAAGCCAGGTGGCTGAGCACAATATCAACAGCAGGAGTCAGTAAAAACTGCAAGGAAGGCGGGTAACTGCTAGGGCTCTGTAATTTTGGATAAATCTCTTCTGGATCTCAGGTCATTGTACAACCAGGGATGTCTACCACTGTGGTAGCCAATATGATAGCCAGTGCTCACATGTGGTCATATGAAGTTAAGTAAAATAGAACAGAAAATTCAGTTTCTCGGTGGCATGAGCCACATTCTGATGCTCAACAGCAGAAGCTTATGGATTAAGCGTCCCAAATACAAAAACCTGAAACTTGAGTGCCAGTGTGACACCACAAGTGGAAAGCTCCACCCGACCTCGTGTGACAGGTCACAGTCAAAATCCAGGGCATGACCCCAAGTAGATTCAGCATCTGGACCGAGGCGTACGGTGGCCTTGCCTCATAGCAAGCCCTCTTTGGGGAACTGATCATCACAGGAGCCTGCTCCACCAAGAGCATTACTCCATTCACTGATCCATTCCTACTCCGCTCTGTGAGGCGTCACCACCACTGGGGGCCAGCTTTCAGCACACCGAAGTGTGGAGGACAAAAGAGCGGGAGGCAATGGAGGGGAAATGGTGGGTATTGGGACGGTGGGAGGTCCCGCTTGCAAAGGGGGAAACATGATAGACCAGAAAGGGATAGCAGGCATAGAGAATGTTTGTAAGCAAGAGCATAGGGAAACGAAAGGATAAAATAAGAGATTAGAGGTCCGAAAAGAGAAGAGGGAGGTAATTCTGATTACCTAGCACCAATCATACTGGAGACAGTGAGTCGCAGG